GCGTTGTAGAGATAAAATAGAGAGGGTATTGTAACGATGAATACTGCGAGAGCTCGAGGGCATTGTTACTGTAAGAGTGCGGGGGTGAGAAATCCAGAATTTTCCGACACAAAACCAGTTTAATAATGAGGGGGACATCATGGGGCATAATGCAATGGCATTATACTTTAGATTCTACATTTCAGCATCATCTGAAAAATCCTATAATGTCAATTGGGTTTTCTTTCTTTATCTTTCTAATTAGTTCCGTTACGCTGGCAATTGTATCTATATGTCAGGCTTGGAACAAATTATGGCACCATTTCTCTGCGGCACGCATTTGGCACGGTAAAAACACACTGGGTTGGAATAAGTACTGTTTGGCTTTTTGGTGTGTTTACACAATCCATGTTTGTTTAAGTGGTTCGTCATATTCATTCCGATTAAATGCTAGAATAACCGACTAAAACTGACTATATTTGACACAAAATAATTGTGGCAGGACCTACCAATATTAAACCAGTTCTTCACTGAACAAGAGTAGTTCCTATGGTTTGTCAATGGAAAGTATTTTACAAATTGTTCATCTAATCAAATATAATTTTAATTCAACGGGTAAGAGCAGACCTTTCTTTTCACAATAGTTTTCATTTAGAAAATTATGATTAAATAGCTATTTTGTATTAAAAAAGCATTTGCGGTTAAAATGACTTGTGTTGGTATGTTCGAGATGGCTTGAAAACAGTTTGAAATGACCCGGGTTGAGATGACCAGGGGCCTTTAGGGATAAACTGCATTTGCTACAGTTCAAATGACTCCCCGAAATTGTACTCTATCAATGTGACAAACCTAGTACTAGTACCGCAACCCATTATCGCCATTTGAGCTGACAGACAGTGTATGTACAGGGTGTTTCATGTGTATGTACCTCCCTATGAACTCATACATGTAGTATTGCTACCCTATCATGTTATATATTATTTTTTCCTTATGGAAAGTTACACAGGATTGCAAAGTTTCAGAATCCAGACGTGTCCCTGAAAATAGATACAACGTATCAAAGTTTGTTGGTACGGGTCATTTCTGGTCATGTCGAGAGCAATTTAAAGGAAACATTTAGTTTCTGTATTGCACATTTCTAGCGGTTGTCATCATGGCACAGTTCAGACCACAAGTGTATGACAGTTATACACAAAGATGTAACTTTCCATAGAGAACAAAATGATATATAATATGATAGGGTAGCAATGTTACATGTATGAATTTATGGAGGAGGTTGCAAACATATGAAACATCATGTATATGAGCATATGCCTCCTTTAAAAGCTGGCAACATTACCGTCCCCGACACGGGCATTTGCATACTGTCCAATGTCGTCGGACTTATCAAATCTTTGGAGAGGAGTGTATTCATCTTAGATAAATATTAAATTAGGCCGATGGGCAAATCTATAGTGAAATGTAGTTACATAAATTCAAATCTATCCCTCAAACAACACCGCCAAATGATATAATATTGTAATTGTTGTCAAATGTGAGTACATTCATTATGATACTCATAGAGATGTCATGGTCTATCATGATGATGTAAGTATGTCTATGAGAAAAGAATTGGATATCAATCGAAAGTATATTGAATTATCTGTAATCTATAGTTACGTTTAGAATAACAACACATACAAATGTAATTGTTTTCGTTAGATAGAGCTCGTCTTATAGATTATGTTAAGCACTTAGCTTATTCTTTGTATATCGATTGTATACATAATTTTTTTTTTAATACTTTGGAACATCATAAGAATCGCAAATGCATATAACAACGCAGAGGCTATATCAATTGGATTAACATATAATCCGTAGGATGGGGGGGGGGGTTGCAAAACATATAAAATGATTATTTCAAAAATATTCTTTGTTTTGTATTTAATTTGACGAAATTCATTTATAGAAAAATAAAAACAAAGAAATGATAAAATAAAAGAATGATCAGATAGTTAGAAATTATTCTGATTTATAAAAAATGATCATCTGCAGTCCCTTAAGCCAGAAACCTGGTTTGTATGCTGCACTACAAACAATAATTTAAATCGATTTTAGAAAATCCCTTCCCTAGCAAACGTCCTTTGCCCTGAAGACATACGCCTATAAAATTCAAATCAAATTCTTAACCAGGATTTGATTTATTGCCCCATCTTGGATTTCCAAGGTATGATGTTTTTATTGAAAATCAAACTGGGAAACGAGTATGTTATTGCCCAGAGAAAAGCACGAACAAATGAACGGACAGATGGATGAACAAATGGACGGCGTCTCACCTGTTCCAAACTAGTATAGTCATGAAGTATGTTAGTGCTGATGTTAAGCTTTCCAACGGTACCAATATTAGCCAGTTATTTGAGTTTTTTTTATATGACGGCTTTATGAGGTCTAGCTCATCTTTATGACATCACGCCACATCAAACATCTGCGTAAATTTTGCCAAAAGAGACTTTACATGTTTCTGACATGTTATGTCCGAAATGACTAGTGATTTGATAAAAAAAAATTCTGGTGGGATTTGCTTCTCAAGGGGAAAATAGTGCATGCCTGTTTTGAATCCATCGAGTCATTATTGATGTCATGCCATGCACCAAAGTAATATAGCCAGACTTTTGTCGAAGCCCCTTAAACAAGTACTTTTAATATGTCAGTGTAAGTAAAATAACATGTTATGCCACGACCATATAATCATAAATATTTGAGTTGAGTTGATTACAAGACTTGTCCCTTGTGGAAATATAATCTTCAGATTTCACTCACAATAAAAACGCAATTTTATGTCTAATCTTAAACTAAAACTATCTAATATCAAAAGATAAAGAATGAATTCGAAAATCAAGATTTTGACGAGAAACGATGCAGTTGTGACATGCACAGGAGCGCGTCGACAAAGTCAAGTGCTTCAGCACTTCTCGATGTCAAAGAAATTCAGGGATTTGAGGAGACGAACTTTCCCGTAAGTAGACGCTCGTGTCGCAAGTGCAACGCACACGTTTTAAAACAAATAGAGGCCTAATGTTAAACAAGCACTTTAATTTTAAAAGATTCAGTTAAAGGGTTGTTAGCCTGGGAAAATCGCTCTCGGGAGAAAATGGGAAACGATGTTATACAGTGGGTCGTTAATTCTTGGCTCGTGCAATAAAAATAACCCGTAACACGTCCAAGTATGGGATAAACATGTATACGTATGTGTGCCAGTCCATAGATTAATCCAGGTGTAAAAGGGTATGAGGTCCTATCAAATTATGGTCCTACTCTCCATTGATTTATATGGTGACCTCAATACAACTCTTTCCCTCATTATCTTATACACAATCAGGGCCAGTAAGGGCCGTTAAGAAAGGGGACCATAATCCCTGGGGGACCATCATTTCTTTCACACCGGTGTAAAATTCTAGTTGTACAAAACTTACACACAACTCACCAATTTACCCCAAAAAATAGTTTCCTAATAGCTGATTAACGCTGACATGATAGATGTCACCCTTGTTTGTCTTTGATTTTTTGGGGCCAGACCTCCATTCACTTCACATTGCTAGAAATTTGCAATAGTCACTTAATTTCATGATTTATCACAAAAAGTGTTGGTTGAATCTGTCTGGAACTCGAATGACATACTACTGGATAACCCGTCAATGTACATATTGTAATTAAACATGAAAATGTTGGTTGTCATACAAATAAGTTTTTAATGAATTTTATCATTGCACCAATGGAGATTTGGCCCGAGTTATTTTAAAATGTCATGAAAAATGATTTAAATGACATAACTGGGTAAACCAAAGATATTATTGGAGGAAACCTGTCACTGAATTCAATTATGCTATCAAAGAAAGTTTTCTGCTTTTAGAGGTACAAAGTGCAAATCTCTTAAAATCTCATAAAACGAGAATTAGCGAGATTTCAAAGCTATTTAGAAACGCCTCTATTACTTAAAGAACTTCGCGGGATAATGTACATGATTTTAAATGTTTAAAATCTAATTAAATCATAAGGCACAATAATAAAAAAATAGTTACCATATCTGCTTAATCATGAAAATAATAATGAAAGCGTTCTGCAAAAAGTAATAATTTGACCCATAGAATCATTCCTGCTGTTTTTCAAAATTGCATTCATTCGTTCGGGAAAATTTTGTTATAAAGAGCGCGGATGCCCAGTTTCTCCAGCATTCAGAATAAATCCCAGCTCTACAACATTTCCCCTCAAATATTCCTTGGTGTGTAACCACACGATAGTTCCAAATATAGCCAACTATAGCTATGTGTTGAGAATTTGTTAAAAACATCTATAAAATTATCAGCAAGTTAGTTATTGAATAAGCAATCAATTTTGTTGATGCCAAAATTTGTGACCCCGGAAATGATCTTGGCAAAATATCAAAATTATGTTTCGAGAGTTGTTTTGAAATAAACGTTAACAATGTCCAAATGGTTAAGTATGCCGTGATTGTATCGAAACACTATCTGATCGATGAGGCCAAAGTAAAGTCAAATTCTTATGAATTAAAGAAAAATTAGAAAACTTTCAAGATAGGAGTTATTAAGTTATTAAATGAATTATGCTACTGCTGACTTTCAAAATTGTTTGAACCCTGCGTAACTATTTATCAGTTTATCATAGCTGTTCATTACTTTAAGAACGTATGGTCGCAAAACTGTTTTGGAAAGAGAGTTGACCTCTGCCCTCTAAGCCTTTGAGCTATTTACTACAGATTCAGTTTTAAACACCGCACAATGAACAAAACTTATTTTTAAAAAATCCACTCGCAAACATGTCTTAGAAAAAGAGTTCACCTTTACCCCCTGTGTGTGTTGTTTATCGATATTGTTTGATATATTATGATACACTAAATCCCAGAAACACGATGAAAAGGGACTTCTTTGTTTTTTTATCGTTGAGTTACGAAAGAACCTAGTTTGGGACCGGTCTAAGCCTTTGTAACTACAATAAGTATTTGTTTAGTCATATAAAAGGCCAACAAAAGTTGAACGCTTAACATAAGCCCACCCGTGCATAAATGCATTGGTAATGTTTTAAACTCCAAAATAAAGTGGAAAAGAATGGAATTAGCTAGGGTTTAAGTAAATAAACTCTCGGCTGATGCTCTGCACCGTATAAAAAGCTGAAAAATAGATAACTTAATCAAGATAGAGTGAATATTGCCATTTAATTAAACCGGGCAGACATATTTTAAAGGTAGGATTAAACAGTTCAATATAGTTCAACAAAACTAATACATTGACGGAGAAAAGTGAATAAATGGAGTACGCTTAGATACAACAGTATATGAAAATACCTGTATGTTTGTACAAGGCAAATGAGGTGATGTGATAAGTAATTTCTCATTGATCCCAATATGATTCATTCAACGAAATAAGAGATGAAATATTGTAAACTGCATGGATATTAATGGATGGTAAAGTTAAACGGAATGCGTTTTGGTGGACTTACTCGCTTCATAAACGGAGAAAGAGTGATGACATGAGATCTCCCCGTTACCATAGCAATAATCAGTCTTCTATGTGAGTATAGTGCTGCAAACAAACGTGGTAGAGTGCTCCGATGTTAGGTTTTTAAAGAGCAACTCAGTTTTGACAAAAGCTAACCGTTAATTTGGTATGCAGAACCGAGTTTACTCGTGCTAATTTTAGGGAATTTATTGTACTGTTTGTGATAGTCGTCAGTAATAATATTTTTAAGCTAAACATGGGTAGGTTACCCTAGCAACACTCGTCATTAAGCACCCGTTTTAAGCTACGAATGGGTAGTTATATCTTCTGTCAAGTTGAGAAAATTTTGTACCTTCTTTTTAACCTTTATTATAACAATATAAGCATTACACAATACATACTTAAAAATCGATACTGATTTACAAAGCAACGGTGCCATTCCGGCAAAGGGTGTTGTCGAAATTGGCGATTGGAACGCATATTTTCTCCGATGTCCGATGGCTGAACAGTGTAATTAGCTAAAACCTGTATTCCCGTTTTAATCATGATAACGTGGTATGTTTTGTTGCCATCAATGTTAATTATCGTAATATCGATTTTGTTATAAAAGTACACCCAACAATCAATGCTTTATTTCTGATTTTTACCTTGCAAAGGTTGATCACGCATAATTGTTATTTAACTACTCTCGCTATTTATATTATATCTTTATATGGTATATCTGAACCATTGAACGGAATAGATCTATCACTGCAATTAAAATTCAGTTTGAGGACGAAATCTATGTAGAAAGAGGACGCTGTTACCCCGGAGTTGATTATTGTAGTATTGAGTTTATGATTAATGTACATTCGATCTCTTGTTATACAAATAATTGTTACACTCCCCTCCAAAAGTTTGGCAACCTTAAGGTAGTATCAAATCTAATAAGCTGAAGTCAGGGGAAAGTAAAGAGTTTTACTATGATACCTTCATTCTTCTACAAATATGGCTACAACATTGACAATTTTTAATCTGTTTGTTAATGATTGGCTATGGTACATTCTTCCATGGCACAGCGACGTCTTCCAATTATATACACGCATGTTGATGAACAATTACAAGACGAGATTCAAATTAAACCAAAAAGGGTTTGCATTATTTTGAATAGAGCATTGTTAATCCTTTCAAAGCATTCCTCTTTGATGTTCAAAAATCGGATTAAAAATGATGTTGCATAAGTTTTTGTGGAATCATTCTTTCTTCGCTTTTAATCGGCAGAGAGCAAATAACAACAGATAGCAAACCACGCGCCCGGAGATTGATGGTGTCATATCAGGTTGCAAGATATTGCCTTATCATTATCACCAGTCTTGGTTGAATTTTAACTCGGTGTCAATTCGATTGGTTGGTAATGGATAACAGCCAATATTTTGCATAAAGGTTGCTCTTGCTATTAATTAGAACCTCTCGAATAAAGCAACAAAAGATCATATTTAGAAACTTGAAATAAAGCGTAGAGAGAGAAATTTTCGAGGAATGAAGTTAACAGATATGAAGCCAATACCCTAAATTGTATAAATGTGCGAGAAAATCAAGCACTTCATTCAAATTTTAAAGAGATAAAAGAGAAATCATCGAACGCAGACGACATTAATCGTAAGATCCAAACTCAACCTTTGCCCCTGATCCGAGCATGTCATTTTTAGAACTTGAACTATCAATTTGAAGTTTGCCGGTTTCATGATCATATAACTCGAAAAAATACAATTGTATTCAGTTTGGTTTTGATCAGGGGTTCTATAAAATAACAGGAAACGGAGTACATTAAATCAATACGCCAATCAATCGAATAATAAAAGGTAAGCTTTAACATTTAATGTCACCCTGAAATAGAATTCACTCAAAACTGACTGACGGTTCAGAGTTTAGAGGTGTTGTTCAACGGTTTCAATAAACACCAAGTCGTTTGATTTTAAAAAGGGACCTAGTGAAACAATGCCATATTCTAGGTGTTCCACTTAAAGAGGTGTTCCATTTGTCCATTTTCTGTATTCAATTTACTAATAATATGATTCTGATGGAGAATAAACGGGAGGAGTTCAACCATGTATTAGTCATAAATACAGACATAGAAACATCTGCAATATTTGACAAGGACCACGATCAAAACATTGCGAAATTCCGATTTCGATGGAGGGTTCCATTGTATGTTTGCTTTTATTTTATTCGTGTTTGATTTAGCTCCATGGCAAGAAGTCGTATGTTGTTTACCTTGACACTTATTTGTCATTAATTACCAGTATGTGGTTTAACCTTTACATATTATAGAAACTTAATTAAAATAGCTCTTTTGCTATTACTTATCCTTGCAAAACCCCTTCTCAACCTATTTCTCTCCCTCCATATATTTGTTAGAATTGATTCTCGAAATAAAGCTTATAGAGATTTGATCCCTCGTAATAAAATTAGATATACATATATCGATACTGATATATGGACTCGCATACCCTTCGCCCCCTACCTCAGGGAAGAGGCAAAGAAGTTGTGCAAGAATAACCGTCTGTAGTCCGCTGTGGTAGTGTTTTTTTTATCCGGGGTCGCATGGTTTCACGTGAAGACATCAGTCCTACGTGTATATTCAGGATCATATAGATCCCAATACAAATAGGAGCAATAATCCCTCGGTGAAGGAAAAAAATGGTACCTACAACTTATTTTCGTCAACATTGCTCTGTATGTGGAATAATGTCCTGTTTTCTTTTGAAATAATACATCATAGTTTTAATCCATTGAGCTCCTTTATACTTTCAGATTGAATGTTCTTATTTTTACAAGGTAGAAACGTATTAGGAAACTTTACAATAGGCTTGTTGTTTACAATGTGGGTTATGTAATAGGTGTTTTTCAATTTTATAACATTGGTCAAACAATTTGTCTCATACAATCTAAGTGTCATATAATGTGTTTCATACAATGTGTGTCACAGAAGTGGGTCCTACAGCTACAATGCGTGTCACAGAAGAGTGTCACTTATAATATGTGTCATTCAATATGGGTGATACGAGAATAACACCAATTCACCACAAGGAAGTCAAGTAAGAATCTCATAATATGAGGCAACTGTTTTGATTCGTTCGCTGAAAACACTTGTATTACGATCTATTAATCATTTAATGTCTTTATACCAGGAAGTGAGGTATGAATTGCTTTTGAGAACAGCAAAACTCAGGTACAGCTCTTTTTTGACGAACACTATTGGTTGTCAAAAGTTCTATCAAACTGGGTTAGTTTTGGATTAAAAAAGACGTCGAGTGTGATATAATTGAAGTGTCATGTCTTTTACCAGTAATTAGTTAGCATGGAGGTCAAACTACAAGTTTTTAAGAAAACCTGTACTTGGACGTGTAGAATTATGGTCTTTTGGAGATTTCCCCCTCTTTGTATATACCTGACTGATTGAAAGGTATAAGCACAATAATTGATATTAGATCCCTGGACAAACCAATACAGGTGAGCAATCATTGCTGGGGCTTATATTTCACGATCACGTACAAGTTCTATTGAAAGCGTGTAGCTGCTGACCTGCCTATTATCTTTCTCTAAATCTGCATCTATGACCCCTTCCATCCCATGTCTTGTGTTTCGTTTTGAGTAACCTCATTTAATCTCCTTATTGACTTAAATATCCCGCCCTCCTAGATCCACTCAATATTTTCATCCCATTCATCCCATTGTTCTGCTAAATCACAGGTAAAAAGATAACAAACAAAGGGAAACATCTTTAAATCAATTAATACATATTTTTGCCGATTGCATCATTTAGCCAATCTTAGCAGGCAAGATCTCCTAAAAATATAAACCTTAAAAGCTGTGATTTTTATTTTCAGTCGCAATGCTCGGACGGAGCCTCCCAGTCCAAATGTCCTGAGTCAACCAGAGTTCCCCGTCCACCATGCAGAGTCAACCCCGCAGCTTAGCATGGTTAGCCTGAGAAAGGCGAGCAAGGGGTGAGTGCATGCGGATCACGACAGGATCCCAACTGAACATAGCCAAAAATGTTTGTACCGCAATCTCGTTTTTAATGTCTAAGATAAATCACAACGTTAACGTCTCCCGAAGGAGAAACATATCCGGTGTATTCATGCGTAAAATATTCAAATGGGTTTAGATAACGATCCAGATTTTACTTTGATCGTTTTTCATGTTTATATTGTTCCAATGTCTCACGAATGACTAGCCTGGCATTAGTTTAAATCTACCATTCGTACATACTCTCTTAGAGACGGGATCAGGTGGTCTTATAGACTGTTTCAATTATTACCGGTTCACTTTTAATCAACTAATGGAAATGATGACGCCTAACATTAATTTGATCCTTGTATCTACGTTGGAGTGAACAGTGTAAACGCACATATATAATATAATTGGTATAAAACCCGATAAACACCTTTGGGAAAACTTGATATTTGCGTTTCCATTAACATAGTCTAGTTCTTCGCTGAGCTAGAAATAGTAATTCAATAAAATCATAACTATCTCCTTGTTCAATTGTATCTAAATCGGCGATAAAGATGACATAGACATTTAACAGATAGGCAAGGAATATGAAATCATTCAGAGATTATATAGTCTATATACCTTAAGATAGGTCTATAGCTGAAGCTAGCGTCAGGGAAACAGATAGAAATATCTGATAGAATGGGCGATTTTATCTTACATTTCCCTGCTGCCATCTAGTATCTGTCCACGGTGATGTATTATAGGGGGCGCTTGAAATTGTAACGGCATGAAAACCCTTATTTGACACTTTTTAGCCGAAATTTTTTATTTGGCACTTCGACAAAGATTAATTGGCGAGAAATGCTTCTCCTTTGGAAGGTTATGAGAGTCATTGGTGATGTGGCGACTTAACATACCGACCCTACCGACCGACCGCAAGTCCACAACCATCTCGAATGAAGCTTTCATAATAGGCGTGAAGTTGTGGATTATGTTTTTGATTGCGAGAGATGCTAATATTTGGTTTTTCTCTGCATTTATTTCAAGCGAACATTCAGCAGGAAGAGACATTTGTATCCTCATTTTTTAGTTTTTTCAAACAAAACGCTTTTTAACAGCGGCATATTGAGTTATACATGTACATTATGTATATAGGTGTGTCAAAAATAATTTGAATACTTCAAACCACTACAAAACATAAGAGGTTTGCAAATTAGTTCAAACAAACCATTTGTCGATTTAGATATATGAAATTAAACATATTTAATGCTACAGTTTTCCTTATGTTTATGCTTCCTTCTAAGTATAGCTATACTCAAATTAATACAATTGTGCAGGTTGACTACAATTTATGCTTTTTTGGGGTCTCTTCCATAGTATATGTTAAATGTAACATGTGTTTTCATAATGAATAACAGAATTTTTTTATTTTCAGCGACACGACAGAAAGCATCGGCTCTTTGGTAAGTTACTAAAATTTTGGTTACTGCTGAGCTAGTTATTCACTCGATATGGGATATGTAGCTAGATATAGAGATAACATGATATTACATGTACAATCCTATCAGACCATTGGCAAATTAAATATGCTTTGTGTTTAAAGGATTTGGGTGTAAGTATTTTGTTAAGTATTTAATTTGACACCTAGGGCATATCCAATGGCAATTAAAAGTGCAACATCTGTAAATTCTTAAGAAATTCGACCAGAAAGCATTTATGACCATGGTAACGTATAATCATCTAATTATATCGCAACTTCTAAAAAGAAATAAAATGAAACGTTACTAAAGTTTTTAGCATCTCTGCTCTTGGAATAAAATCACCTGATCACGTTTAATATTTCCAGAGGCTTTACATTTTGTCCATTCATGATTTTTCCCTACTTTGACAACAATAAATTGCCATGATCCCAAATTGTGACGTAGTATCATCATGTGATGGTTGCCTAGGAGATGTTTTCTATGATTTAACAAAAGGAAGAATCAGGCCACAATCTATAAAATATTACGCGAGAAAATTCGCCCTATCGTACCAAAGCAAAAGCAACAAAATGCATAGTCTTATTTCAAAATCAATATCACAAATGAAGGGACTAAAACGATATCCACAAATGAAGGGACTAACAAACTACAAAGCTCTGGCTAGTACACGAACTCTAAAGAACACCAGAATCGTGCAACTGGAATAGAATATAGAGATATGAAAAATGATAGAATGTGCAAGTCGGAAGATGAAAAAGATCGCAGCTGCCCTATCGAAAGCAGCAACAGATTTAACATCAACGCTGCAAGCTCACAAAGTAGTGTTAGCAGCGGAAGCACGTATCGTATGGCAACTTTGTCAACTTAGGATTCAGTTTAGATTTTAGTCACTGAATATAAATGCAGCAGTGATGAGCGAAACACGCCTTGATGTGCCAACCTACTTGTAGTTGAACTATTATTTTGCAGAATGATATACTTAAACAATTCAAAGGGATTTGGTGCCTATTTTCGATCCTCATAGATACCACATTAAAAAATTCAGCTAAATCACAAAATCAGTAATTCGTTACATCCTGCAATTTTCTCCATCATTTATCTTCGTTAAAATCCTGCTTTGTGTAAATGTTATAGTTTCATAAAGATAAGTAGGTGAAATAATTGACGTTTAGAAAGTCAATTATAAGACGAAATTGCAATATTTTTTTATTTAGACTGGTTTTAGGAAATATAAATTACAGATTTAAGGGAATTTTTTAAATTTGTGTTTTTGTCATTATTTATTTTAATAGAACAGCTTTTTCAGCACAGTCTTGGAGATTTGTAATTGTTATATTCGATATCATTATGACCTGAGTGAATTTGGTCTTCGAACAATTGATCGGAAATCAAACACTTTTTTAGAAATCAAAGCGATTTTGCAGACCGTTCAGACATTACTACGTGCAATTGATTATAATCATCAAATTGCAACAAGTGTTTAATAAATGAACTTTCATTACAAAAAAGAACAAAGCTTCGGGTTGGGTCGCGTCCTTACAAATTGACTAATAAATCAATATGAAATTGTATTTACTGTTTTAGAGGATAAACATCAACTTGAGAATAAACAGGAATAAATTATTTTACTCCGATTTCAATCCAAAGTCTAAAATATGATTTTGATAACATTAAGATGACAATGAACGCGCATATGACACGACTTGACTTTTAAGCAGATACCCCTTGATTTTGAAAAAGGACTCGTATCAATAACGCGTAGACCATGACCCTCTCCTCAAAGTCACATACACATCGTATTTATCGAATTTAGTCATTTCGAATATTAACAGAAACAATAGTTGTAAGAGACCCAAGAAAACATTTTGGCCCATCTTTGTTATTCAAGATCTAATATTGACGCTTTTGGGAGATGAAAAATGGGTGTTCAACTTAAGAAAGGATTACTATTTGAAAAATAAAGGGGTAGACTAATGTCGGTTTTTGGTTATCATTGTGTATCTTAGCAAATATATTTAAGCTTATGTGAATTGGGATTGAAGTTCAACTGTAAATGATCTGATAATAGGCACGAAAACAAATGATATTGTGTCATTATATAGGATCCACAACAGACTCAAGTACAGTCAGTAAGTTCGTCAATGCCGTTATAGAGGAAGCGAAAAGTTCACCCAAAGGAAAATGGAAGCAAAAATTTGACAATTTTCTGTCTATCGGGAAACGCATGCGGAATACCCCTAGCACTGTTTCATCAAACTCCAACATTGACATTGAGAGTGATATCTTTGATAGTGGTTCCAGTAACGAATCAAGCTATTACTTTGAGGCAAATAGTGATTTCTATGAAAGCTTTGACGGGGAATCAGATGATACTTTTGATCTCTCGCAAGGTGGCGCTGATTCTGCTAGCAGACGACCTTTCTTTGTGTATATCGGCGACGACGACGTCGGATTAACTCAAGAAGAGGACAATATTATACCCAAACCACGAGTTAAAAAGCACAGTTTTATTCATAAATGGCGGCGAAGCCATAGAGTGGAATATTCAACTCGGGTATTTATTTTGTCCAAGACACCAAACCCTTACCCTTGAAGGTAAAATGAGAGTATTGCCCTAAAAAGAAAAACTTTATAGTTTTGTTTAGTCGATCAGAGGTGCGCGCATGTGCATAAGTTTCATTCGAATTTCTTTATGATTACAGGAGTCGGAATCCCCATCAAGTATGAGCAGATCTCGGAACGAAAAATTCCACAAAATATTTAAGAAAATTCCCGAAGAAGAGACAGTATGCCATTGTAAGTAACAATGCCCTTTTGAAATTGACCATTCCATCTGAATGAGTATATTGTCTCATACATTGAAGTTCCATTCGGTAGTCGAATCTACAAAAATGAACTAAATGAAAAATAGCCTCATCTAACATACCGTCAGCCTGAAATTCATAACTGTAATTTAATAACTGTAAGAATATATAGTTATTAATTGTACCTGGGTTATAGTCTTTTCACTAATTAATTTTTTTCATACTTTTTTGTTTTCAGATTTTTCGTGTGCCTATGTTGGAGATATCTTGCTCCAAGGTAATCTTTACGTATCCCAGAGATATTTATGCTTCTACTCAAAACTTGTAGGATATGAGAAAAAGGTAAGAAAACAGTAAGCACAATTAAAGAATAATTAGACACAAATTAAGAACTAGTTTGAGTTTGTGCAATTTCTATTTTAAATTCATTATGGCATTTCAGCTATTTTGCTTAAAACTGGCAAAGAATATGAATATTTACATTTACATTGTAAATAAGCGATCTGATTGGCTAGGAGCATTTGGAATAAAAAAAATACATTATTTGATCTTATCTAGCCATTTTCTTTTGTTTACTTGTTTATTTGAAAAGGCTATTACATATAGTCAAACAACTTCAATCAATAAAGGTCTTTAAATTCAAGGGGAAGTCACACAGTGAATGGGTAATATTTAGACGAATGATCACCGTCCTTTGATGTATTTACAGATAGAGTTAGAATTTGACAATATTGTGGAAGTTACCAGAGAAAGGACAGCATTTATAATTCCCAACGCCATTGGAATAATTACAAAAACCGATAAGGTAATGTATGACAAATACTTTTAGGTAATAGATTCAAAAAAACAAACATGGACCGATCATTTGTTGTCATCATAAAATTTTCGTGCCCATGTATTTGAAATTTGACTTGAAACTTTTACCGTTTTACAAAAAACATGTGAAGAAGATTAAGAAGAGCTTTCATGTTAATTAAAATCGTTGTCTCTGAAAGAGAGTCGAAATTCAAAATATTGACGACAAAACCAAATCTTTTGATAATAGTGTTCTAACCATATTTATTGTTTACTTCCTGTTTTTGCGTTTGTTAAATGTTGAATCAAATAAAATAAGTTGACGAAGGAACATGGAATGTACATTATTTGAGCATTTCTTTTTCAGTATGTATTTGGATCTTTTTTATCTCGAGAAAATGTGTTCAAGAAAATAACTCGGACTTGGAAAAAGTCAACGGATGGGGTAAGTGAGAAATCGTACAGTAGTCACATTTGGAACAATTTATGTCGTCATTTTTTATGTCACCACTAAACTGTTTTAGTCTCCATCTTTTTTGTGGACGGTGCTTATGGCTCATCTAACACTTGCCTTAAAATATAACTTAATCAAGGTCGTTTTTAAATAACAATACGTTGCATGTTTGCTGCAATCCATAACCAATTGTTTTGAAAGTGTTGAAGAATGTAAAAAGCAATTAAAGACGACCGAATTCTGTTTCAGACGCTAAGCAATGGCGATGACATTTACAGTACAGAACAATCGGTAGGTTTAATTTCTTAAATCAAAGCAAAACGCAGCTTTATTTTCTTAAATTTGATTTAAGTTTCCAAGCACGAGATTCTACTATGATATTTCAGACGAGGGTGCAAGCCAAGTTCAAAGTCTTGCTTACAAAAAATGAGTACAACTCACTCGAATAGTCATTAAAGGTGCAACAATTAGTGCAGAGGGGCCATTCAACGATCATGGACCAGTGCCAAAATATATTTAAGTTTGGATATTTCATCAAGACTAACATCTATTTTTATTATCTACAAAGAAACCCCCTAGATAAACATTATTTCAGCTGATATTCCTCTTGAAACATGGTGGATCTTAAAAATATAAAAGTGGATTTCCCCTTTTTCAAGCTTTGAACTGAATTTACACTTCTTAAGGCTGAAATTGATAGTTTATCCATACATTTTAAGAAAATAAGTATGTCAAAGAAGATGTTAAGCCAAATGTTGCCTTGATAGCTCAGAATTTTTTTTGATTTTCCTATTTTCTCCCTACAGGCCTTGTTGCCCCTTTAAGCTATGAGTGCTTACATTTCTTCACACAGCAAAAGTTTTTGAGCAATATAGTTTTAAAACACATTCTGAAAACAAAGTTAACATTTTCCAAAGGCTTTTAGAAGGTCAACATTTTTAATCTGCATATCAAATATGGAATAGCTATAGAACTCAGTTATGGTAGGCCTGAATGTGATTACATGTATCATACCTACTGTGTTAATAGCATACATGTATATACAGCTGTAGTATATTTACTCCAGGAGACACCATGCCCGACACCTAGTCCTAGCCTAGATAATAACAACAGCATACCAAACCCAGAGGCGTCCCCTCAGAAATCCCAACAGAGTAATAGTCCCACTGATCTCACTAGTAACTCGGATGAGTCCAGTCTTAGCGATGAATACGAACGGACTGAACACAGTCCGTGTAACTGTGTGCGTCAGAGGAAAGGAGGAGTATCGTCAGAGAATAAGGCGAGCACCTGGCCCCGTAGTTTCAGAGATAGTCAAAATTCACTCAGGAAATCCAGAGAAGATAATACAGGTACACGCAAATACATTGAATGACATTTGATTTCTACAAAGTGACATTGTATAGTCAACAGGTCAAAGTACCCACTTTTCACAATTCTATTGAACCTGCATTATAACTTTTTAAAAAATAACAGTTTACACCATCTATTCATTCTAATTTATTAAAGTAGTCTTAAGCTTTTGTATATCAACATGCAAATCTATTGATGAGGACTCGTTATTCTTGGTCTACCTTTAAGGAAATCTTACTGTGACATTTTGTAGGAAATAATGAAATCATGCTTGTAGTAACCATGGTTTGTAGTCGAATAGCATTGAACACTTCTATTTTTGTATTAAAAACCATTGCTGTATAAAATCATGTACACATACCGTAATTGGTTAATCAGCTCATCAACTAGATTTCATTGTAACAATGATATATTTTCACTCTAGCTACATGTATTGTTATGTTCCTCACGTAAGTTCCATATTCTGTATGCTTACAGGGTCAAAGACCGAAAACTCAAGCTTTGGGTTGCTTAATTTCGTGCGGAGATTATTTGCATTGAGGAAAACCAATTTACTGCTGTTTATATGTATCATTATGTAAGTTATGCATCATTATACAAGTAATTCATAATTATGCATCATTATGAGTTATTCATAATTATGTAAGTTATGTATCATTATATGAGTAATTCATAATTATGTTAGTTATGCATCATTATATAAGTAATTCATAATTATGTAAGTTATGCATCATTATAAATGAGTAACCCATTATTCTGTAAGTTGTGCATCATTATATTAGTTATTCATAATTATGTAAGTTATGCATAAATGCATCATTATATAAGTTATTCATCATTATATTAGTTATGCATCATTATAAATGAGTAACCCATTATTCTGTAAGTTGTGCATCATTATATGAGTTATTCATCATTTTGCAAGTTGTGCATCATTATGTTGGTTACACATCAGTATGTAATTTTGTTTAACATAACTATATGAGTGAAGAATCATAAGTTTTGCATCATTACGTCATTATGTAAGGTATGCATCATTATATGTTGGTTAAACTCATTATATATGTAAAGTATCACTCTGTAAGATATGCACTGTCATTATGTCATTACTCATAGAATAAGAAAGTAATAATTTGCAAGTTATTAACTTATTAAGTTGTGCATGAAGGGGACTCGTGAACACAAATATTGTATTTAAAGACAATGCATACTAAATATCAATATATACATTTAACAAAAGAATACTATAAACATATTTTCCAGGGTGATCTTCCTGCTGGTGTCCATGATTGTATTGTACTACAAGATCTCACAGATAGAGGGCGCTCTTGATCAGCCATTTATTGGCCTGGGAACAAGGTATTATGTTATTCATTAATTTTTAATGAAGTGTCTATTTATTACTGTATTCATTGTAAAAAATTGCAAAGAACTCCATGCAAAACATTGTTAGTAAAAAGAGACCCCTTTCAACAAAGAAATGCTTATATTTCAGGTCATCTCATAACCATAACCTATATAGCCTAAATCAGAATATTCATGTTGCAAATATGGATAGGGTTCACGCTATACTACAAAACCATTTAGCAGTACTTGATCAAGTAAGACATTACTTATAAGCATGCAAATTAACAATTTTAGGGCAAAAGAATCAAGTGTCCCTATTATTTGTATTTTAGAGCAATTAAAGGTAGAATCAGACGAGCGTTTCTGAATCGTATGAGCTTTTATACATCACACCTAATGTTTGAATTGTTAAGAATGAATTATTCCAGAGAAAATCAAGGGTGTACTTACGATAAATGCGATCATTTTTATAAATGTGAATATTTACATTTAGCGTTTTGATCTTTTAAACATTGTCCAACCCATTCAAAAATCAAAAGCGATAGAGAGCATAAACTATTAATATGCAATGCTTGAAAACGGAATTGCATGAAGTTTTTGAAAAAACAAACAATATGTTATCGTATTAACGTATTAAAAATGACATCATACTATTCACAAATATGCTGCACGATTGAATTGGTCAATATTGGAAATATATGTCACATGCATTGTATCTCTGATTATACCTTTAAGTTAAAGTTATTTTGGGGAGTGTAATATGATTTCATATTTTCAAAATTTTACTTTCAGGTTAAAGAGTCGCTGAAGTCACTTCAGATGTCGCCATTATTTAAATCCTCCTGTTCAGAGAGCAACGAATAACTCAATATTTAAAGTCTCTCGAGCAGAGTATAAAATATAATCAAAAATCATGAGTCAATACTATTGCAGTAAATTGGATATATTGGGGATACCGAGCTCTACACAAATTATTTAATCACTTAATTTAAAAGTACATGTTTTATGAAAGCAGTTATTTGAGCCCTGGTGGCGACATTTAATGTACCCTAAATGGATTTGCAGGAGATAAACAAAAGAGTAGATAAACTACGAAATTATTCACCTATGGTGCCATCGAATCGTGCAACGATTAGTTTAAAGGAACACAGACTTTATGACAGTACGAGTCACACACTATTATCAGATCATAAATGATACCCAATTTTCTCAGAGTCAGATGCAACTTGGGATTTTAGTAGTTTATGTGAGTTAGGAGCTTAAGTTTGCACATAGTACTGTTTCAAATGACGGAATTAACCAAGGAGAATAAATTGTTCAAAAGGAACAAATAAGACATGCTAACACTAATGCCTAGCTTGAATAGGTTTGAATTAATACAACCATGACCAAGGTTCTATTTTCTCATGAAATAGCACATTTATGATTTGTTGACCTGCTATCGCTAATCAATGAGCTAATACTTAGCTAGTATTAGGTTTGAATTAACACTTGTATTACTCACGAAGGAACCCATTTATGTTAGTTTGTCATTGCTTGGTAGTCTTGCACTTTGTTGCCATATCGTTGATACTCCAATTGATACATGAATGGATATAGCATTAGATACATCAATTAAGATTAAACATCTGAATTGAAATTTAAAAGAAAAGTTATCAGGCTCTCATAATAAAAAATTACCAATTACAGGCGAATCAAACCTGGATTATAATAAATACATGAAATAGAGCCACATAAAGCATTCCAATGTACATAGACAATTGTAAATTCCGAAATTGTAAATTTTACATAAAAATTATAAATTTATTGTTATATTTATGTGCAGTGAAGTATATGTATTTTAAATTTCCAATTTTACTGTTGCAAGACACTGGAATTAAAATATCATACTTGTCATATTTTTATTTAAAAAGAGTAGAAACTGTGAAATGTCAAAGAATATATTAATCTGACATAATCTTAATACGTAATTTAAAATGCCACTAGTAAAACCTGTAAACTGAAACACCTTACCTTGATAAGTGAAATACAAATGCCCATAAGCAATTATCTTAAATTAACCTCTATGCGCAACACTTCTACTATCAAATTGAACACTATTGTGAGCTTATCAAAACTGTTTAGGATTTATCAGAATTGTCTATTGCTGTGTTTTTGACTTTTGGTTGTCTTTATTTAATTTAAATAATGACATTACAGAGGAATAAAATGTCGTAAAGAAATAACAGGAAAAAACTACAGAATGAAACACCTTTTTTCTGTGTACATAATAATATATTTGTGTCATGTTCTCAGAAGGGTAAAAAGCAGGCCCGTAGCCAGGATTTGTCAAGGGGAGGGGGGGGGGTTCACTTTATGAAAAATTCTTGAGGGGGATTCACTTGTGTCAATTTTGGTCAAAAAATGGCCAAAATCACTTAAGATTTTTTGGCCAGGGGGGGGAGTCGCTAGAATCCATTGAACCCCCCCCCCTGGCTACGGGCCTGAAAAGTATTAAATTAGGTTTAGTGAGAATTATTAACACTTTAAACTGGATTACTAAGTCATGTTTTTAAACGCCAAATAGCATAAAAATAGAGGAATTAGCAGGGAATTAAGTAATCAGGCATGTAGTTAACACTCTAAATTGAGTAGAAATGCAAAAGGCAGACACTCCAGTCAACATTAACGAGGAGATAAAGTAAAATAAAATGAGGAGATGGAAATTGAGTCTTAACAATTTGGACTTGCCCTCATAATCAAATTTCGAATTCCATGACATTTTTTGTCATTTCAACACGATTAGTGTTTTTCCCCGTCGATTTCAACATATTCCACTCAATGTATTTTACACAAAGAGTATATAATTATGCAGTTAAAAAAGTTATGATTCATTCCGATAAAGGGATCAGGGTTGACATATTTGGGACAGTGGTTTATTACAACCACATGCGCCTGTATAGGGGGAGCTGGGATAAATTGGCCATGGAGCAAGATGGAGATTTCAGCTCCTTGTGATTAATAATGACATCCTAGTAGCTTTCAAGATATACTGGCTTGCCAACAATATTTACACACTGTTCTATAACAAGGGGTGGAAATATTATACAAATATACTTATACAAGGGGCGATCCATATATTCTGATAAAAATACTCTCATTTTGTGATTTTTTCACATATCCTCTCATTTTTTCAGAACTTGAAGATATAATTACACATACAATGCTAAAATATTATAGCTATATCTTAAATTATTTTTGAGATAAGGTTGCCATGGTAACCTGTATTTAGGGTAGGCAGGTCAGTTAAATTATAACGTATAAAATAGATAAATATAGGCTATTGTACAATCAATACATGTTATCTGTCCATCTTGCTCCGTGGACAATCTGTCCATGCTTCCATGTTGTCCATCTGATACCAGGCTTCCCTTATGTGTCCATTGTATGCACAAAGCTTGGTGTACGCACTGTGTATCTAGTCTGCGTACTATGTCTGTTGCATTGCCAAAGAAGCAAATTATTTTTAATACATGATACATTTGCAAAATAAAACATCTTTTATTTGTTTATTTATATTATCCTGGTACTGTCCAGTCCATCCCGTGGAAGTAACATGGTATTAATACACTCTAGAATTCCATACATAGGTATAGGTACATAGATTTTCTTAATATGAATGATATAAATCTGTAAATAAGATAATGTCTCTATATCTTCATTAATATGCTCATTCTGTACCTGTATCCAAAGCCTCCCAGCAAAATTAAACCCCGATACGAGTGTTGTCCAAAAAGTCTTGAAATTTTTGCTATAACTTTCTTGAATATTCTTCAATTCAGCTAAGATTTTATGTATACTGCAATTGAAGAGTTAACTGTTATATCCTGAATTTTTAACATCATATATACATGTATTTGATATCATTTTGAAATATCAAGTATTGATAAAGTTAGAACATAAATATCAAGTCTTTTTGGACAACCCTCATACATTATTCCCTATGAGACTTACTGTTTATTGTCTATACAGGAATGCTGTTGTGAAAAGCAGATGTTTCTTACACTGATTTTTAAAATTCCACCAAATGGGGCCAATTCATTTGAAGTCACCAACTGCCATTTGTTACAGACACCAAATGCCAAACACCGACCACCATCCACAAAAAGTTGGAACCACAACTTTTGGTAGTGACATTACAAGAATCATTGATCGAAGACACTACATTTCATTCATTCTTTGAATACTTTCACATATAATATACTCTTGCACTTCAGACTTCGGAAAAAATTAATTAAGTGGTAAATGAACAAGTATTTCAGAAAATAAATTGACGTACATGTATGTGTATAAACCTCCGATCCCCGAATATCATGTCATTGATCAACTTTAATTATTAAAAGTGTTACACAAATAACATCTTAAAGAAATTAAAGTTTCGATATTTTTTTGTTGCCGAATTCAATGAAGTAAACTTCCCCTTAAAAATTCAAGGGATCCATTATCTAACATTGGTGACTGAAAATGTAACTACAGATCGTGTTCTATCTATCATTATTTATTTTCTATAAAAACGTATACACTGATATTCTGCCATATATTCATACATTACATGGAATACAAAATGCGCTACGGTATGTGTAACTAATAAATCATGAGGGCATCGTTGCAGATAAATGGTCCTGTTTCCACTTTTCAATCCATAACACTATTTTTTCTATATTGTCTTCCATTTCTTCGGGTGTGTTACTTTGCAGTTCATGAACAATATCAGGTTTATATGAATCTTTGGCTTCCTCCAAAATTGTCTGAAAAATCTCACATTGTACATTGTCCTCAAGTTTTTTGCCACTATATCCCCTGAAAAATAGGAATATTTAATTTAATACCATTTATAAAATTCTATTCTTTAAAATAAGAAATAATTATTTGATCTCGTCCGTCTAATCAAAATTTGTGGTTAAAAAACAGCCACATAATAAGGTATCAGATGACACATATCATTTCCTTTAAGTAGAGTTTTTGATAATCTGAAATTCTTTTTTTTAACTTTCGTTGTTAAACAAATTCAAATATATGAAAAATTACATTTTCTCTTATTTCAACAACATGATTAAAAATTGCAATTTTAACCATGTTTAACATTTACAATTTGGTTGAAATATATTTTCAACTAGGATCATGTTTTACTTACCGTTCTTGCAACCGTGTATACAGCAATGTATTATCAGTTCTGAGCACAAAGACAATGTCAAACCAACGTTCTGGGAAAAATTCACAACCATGATAATCTATGATACGTCCACCATTTTCCATATGGTCCTCTAGTTCATCAACAACCTAAAATAAAAATATAAATTAAAAGTTTTTGTCTTACAATTTTGATAGTTCTTAGTTTTGCGCTTCCATATTCATTTTCAATGTTTAGAGAAGTTTCAAGAATCATAAAATGTGACACTATAAATTTTCAAATCTTGAAATGATGCGCTGAAATGAGGTAATGTCAGGTACTGTATATAACTGGCTTTGGTAAATGTTTGGTCGATATTGGCCATATAATCCAAACAACCTGGCATTTATATAGGGTAATCATTATCATGTATTACATAGTACTATCAACATACATATTTTTACTACAGAGGGGGTGTCATCGTTTTTTTTACACTCTGTATCTGGAAATAATCGTAACTGAGCAATGTCACACTTTGATTGGCCCACAACTTCTGAAGTTGATCAGTATTTAAAGGGTACAAAAAAGTAAAAAATATGGCAAAAATTTCACCTTTATGTTACTTTGACCTAATTTGACCTACTTTTTGAAATTTAATACACCTCCCTTAATGGGTATCACATGACCAATATTTGTTCCCTTAGTTTTTACTGAGGGGAGGGGTGTCATCTGACTGCTCGTTAATGTTATGAAAATATGTTGCCCACATTAGTGTTAAAGGGTACCACTAACCTGGTCTTCATCCAAAATATTGCAGTTATACTCCTCATCATAACCCTCATAAAGATTTTTCTCTTTTGCGAGATCCCCAACATTTATATAAGACAGTCCTGTTCTTTCAGCTAGTTCCTGGCCTAATGTAGTTTTTCCAGTACCCGGTGTTCCTGCAAATACAGTTAAACATGTAAATCAGAAAACTTCTCAAATCCAAATACCTCTCAATATGAACACTTTTTCTCAGTCCTAAATTGACAAATATGTTATGTGAACACCTTCTAGTCAGAACACTTTTGGCCAGTCCCAGTGACCCCATAAGGTAGATAAATAATGACCGACTTTGTATGATATATACCATCCTCCGATCACAGGGCTTCAAAATACAGAATATATTCTTTCTTTTTATACCCTGCGACAAGCAGTTAGCATTTCCCCGATTGAGAACTCGCAATCTGATTGGCTGTTGCAACACTGTGACAGAAATCATGTATAAGTCATTCTGCATAATTAGATCATGTGATTCAGTTTAATCGAGCGCTTCCAAATCAGTTAAAGCAGGGGGAAAGAGGTACGGATTCTGAATACCTGCTTAGGAGGGTGGATATATACCGACCCATGATTATTCATCATTCTTCGCTTGTGCTCATTGTGTCAAATGGATTGTGTCTAGGACTCTAGGTCAGGCTATACATTTAGTTCCAGTGAAAATAGCGTTTGAAAGTGTTAAGACTTTGTGGAATTACAAGATGTAACTAACTAAGTTATATTTCCTTTGAGGTCGCATATTTCACGGACTTCTAACGTTCTTCGAAAGAGATAGATATCAATAACAGGACTCAGCAACAAGATTCAAGTGTTTTTCAAGACCTCTGACTCTCGTTGGGCTAATTATTGACTCAGTTGTTCATATAAATTTACGTACCTTAGATGCTTTGTAATCGATGTAGATAGAAAATATTGTTTCCTAAGTTGTTCTGAAATGCGATTATAATTTAATCGCATATTTTATGAGATGTTAATTTCTATTAGAAAAATTCATTCGTAAGATAAATATTAAGTGATTCGTAATGAACCGTAGAAATAAGTATTTACTCAGGATTTTGCAAGGGACTGATCTTTAGCCATCAGAAATTGTTTATTCCCGGTTGCTGCTAGTTGAGAATTCCTTTTGAGAAGTGACGTTATTTCAACCCCCCGCTTTCGTAATCTTCATCATCTAGTTTACGAATACCACATGTCGTTGTGATGTTTTAATTTCAAGCGAATTCCTTATACATTTCCTACTCTTATTGTGAAATAGCAAACTATGAGATTGGTTTACTCGATAGAAATTAACATAACATTATTTGAAGCGAATTTAGAAAATTTTGAAACCGCCATCTTGGTAATATTGATGACATGATCACCATCGGTCAAGCTGAGGTCAAGGGTCATCCATCTTGCCATTTGCTCGGCCGAATCGTACCAGTCGACAATAAACAATGAAATCACGTTAAAAATAAAATATACGCTTGAGGATGATTGAATACGGGAACACTCCATTGAATACAGCTGTGCAATTTACAGTCACCAAGATGAGCTAATTTCGGAGAGATTCGGGAAATAAAAAGATAACTTCATTTTTTTCATTCATGTATCCCAACTTCAAGAATTTAGAATTCCAATCTCCTTTCGCCAGAACATTCTCTTGGACTCTGGCATATTTCTGGATATATGAACCACCCTTACACTGTACTTCCTGCGAAAGCTATTTGGATTTTGATATAATAGCTTTCCCACGGAGCATTTGGACAGCTGAATGATTGTGACCTTTGAAATTGAATTAAGTCAATCCGCGGCTTACTTTTGGTCTCTAACTGTGTCTTGCATCAGTATCATCAATCCGTGTAAGTATTAGAGCGCTGAAATACTTCTTTTTCGATCAAGACTTGTAAATTGTTCATCGAGTGAATGTTTTTTAGACCTATTTCTTGATCAAAAAGGAAGTACTTCAGCACTCCAATACTTACACGGATTGATGATACTGATGTAAGACACAGTTAGAGACCAAAAGTAAGCCGCGGATCAACTTAATTCGATTTCAAAGGTCACTATTAATCAGCTGTTCACTTCCCCGTTTGAGAGCCATAAGTTTCAAAATCTAACATGGCTCTCGAAGTGAGTAAAACCACCCAAAGTCCCAGGGAATGATTATTTTGTTGTGTTTTTACTGGACAATCCTTCCATTCACCCAACAATACTCCACTTGCAGCAAATGACTTTTCAAAAATGGCCAAAAGTTGCATTCGCGTTCAGCTAGGACTGGATTAAACTTGTAGAGCTAAGATCTAATTTGATTCTTGCAAGTTGCAAAAATGCACAGTCAGAGAGAATGTTTCTGGCGAAATTCTGGGATTTCAAACACTTTTAAGTTGGGAAACCGGAAGGGCTTACCTTTTTCAATTCCCGAATCTCACCGAATCTCTCCGAAATTAGCTCATCTTGGTGACTGTAAATTGCACAGCTGTATTCAATGGAGTCTTGTCATATTCGATCACCCTCAATTTTAAAGTGTATATTTTATTTTCAACGTGATTTCATCGTTTTTTGTCGACTGGTAACAATCCGCGGGGCTAATGGCAAGATGGATGACTTTTGACCTGACCTTGACCGATGGTGATCACGTCATCAATATTACCAAGATGGCGGTTTCAAAATTTTCTAAATAGCTTCAAATAAAATTATGTTAATTCCTAGCGAGTAAAGATATCTCTTAGTTTGCTATTTCACAATAAGATAACGAAATGTGTAAGGAATTCGTATTTATCAATTAAAACATCACATCGACATGTGGTATTCGTAAACTAGACGATCAAGATAACGAAAGCTGGGGGGTTTTGCAATGACGTCACTTCTCGAAAGAAATTCTCAACTAGCTGCACAAAATAAAAAAGCGAGCACGGGATTCAAACCCGGGCCTCCAGCGTGCTAAGCCAGGATTCTCCCTCTAGACCACAGATATTGGCCAGATCGTTTTGTAGTAGGATCTCATAGACTCAAAGAATAATACAGAAGATACGACACTAAATTGGAAAATTTCAAAAAAAAGTGACAACCTTTCAAAACGTTTCTTATACAAAATGGTACCTGTTTCCCCGTGACAGATTTTGCACTTATTTTATAGCTGAGATCTTCATCTTTCTATTTCTACTTGTTTGGTTCGAGTAAATAACCTATGGATGCAGTTATTTGACTTTCAATACGGCGAATATTTTTCACGAAATCCGGACTCTTGTGTGTCCAAATATCATTGTAATGATGACGTCACATTTCTGGAACCACGGGAGCAACATTCAGATTTGGACAGACAAGAGTCCAGCGATAAAATATCACTGTTTTGGCCTCTTATCAACGCAGTATTGCTCGAATAGCGATCATTGGTGATTAAAAAGTTAAAGAATAACAAGACACTTTGAATGAGGTATGATTTGTCTCATATTTTTCAGAAATGGCTCCACAATCGTCATTTTAAAATTTGAAATTTTCAGAGGTGTCTCATCTTGAGAAATATTTATTGAGCTACTGATTCTACTACAAAAGAATCTGGCCAGGATCTATGCTCTAGACCGCCGTAATTTTACGAAGGTGATTGAAATTAAACGCTACTTATTTTGAATGCTATGATTCGGAAGTGACGTCACGTTCTTCACGTTTTGTTTGAGAGCGAGAACGAGACTAGTGCCAGAATCCCGGCTTTTTGGTCAGTCGACCTGTTCAAAGTACATTTAGTAATAATTATCGCTTTTCAGAACAATTTAGGAAACAATAGATTCTATTTTCTATCTACGTCGATTACAAAGCATCTAAGGTACGTAAATTTATATGAACAACTGAGTCAATAGGGATAAATAGCCCAACGAGAGTCGGCGGTCTTGAAAAACACTTGGATCTGATGCCAGTCCTGTTATTGTAAGGTTCCAGGGCAGTTCGAAGAACGTATTAGATGTCCGTGCAAAAATGTCTGAAAAATCAAGGATAAAATTGACAATAAGTGCCTTTTCAACTCGTATAAGACAATTATCAGCGAAAAAGAACTAGCGAAAAGATACGAAATTTGTCAAGAAATGATATAAAATTACGTTTATAGAAAAAGAGCACAAAGAAAGAGGCGTAAATTGGATAAATACCTGTCAGAAGAATATTCGGTCCATGCTTAGCCATTTTTGTAACTTCCGTCTGCGCATGCGCAATGAAAAAATAAACACATCAACTTCCGGTTTATTTCTTTTTCAGAAAAATGCAGAATTATTTCATGTGGGAGATAAAACAGTATTCCATTCTAAACGACTGTATCCTGAACAAGTGAATGGCAGATATAACATCTACTAGGATGTCTGGAAGTGAATTACGGAAAAGGATATGCGACCGTCTCTCATCAGATTTGCTCGCAGCTGATCTCCAGCTGAGTTTCCTGGCTGCCGCCCTGTCGAGCTATCGGTTTGACACAGTGCTCAGACCTGTTCCACCTATGTTTGATAATGGAACTGATGACAAAAATTACAAGGGGATTGTGAGTTTGCAAATTAAACTTTTATAATTGCCAACATCTGCACTGTCAACCCTGACTCATTAGGCGTGATTGTCACGCTTTTGCTGGAAAAAATGAAATCACGCATCAATTTTGCGTGTATGAAAAAATGTCATGCAAATCACGCATTATGTTGATATTTAAAAAAATTGCTGTTTATAAAATGTCGATAGGGTAAAAAAAATGAACGTCGTAAAAAAGTAAACGCATTCTGTTCGCACATCTCACACAAATTCTATACACGTCACGCATTTGCTCTGAAATATGTGTATATGTCACGCATTTGCTTTGAAGTTTTTTGTACCTGCAACCATGGGCTTTCTAATTGAAAGCCCATGCTGCAACATATGCATAGCCAGCTGCAGCTTTTGATAGGGCGGGGTCCAAAACCCCGCCATCACATTAAAGCTTTTCCATGCTTACCAACTCCTTTTGCAATGTAAAGCATATTTTTAAGAAGACATTAGGGGGATCCTGAAAATCAAGAATGGATCATGTGGGCTGCGGTAGTATACATGTATGTACCCATCAGACTGAATAAGAACTCTGTCTGAAAAATTTCAAACCAAATTTCCAAAAATATCACACTACATGTATATGATATCGAGTTCACTGTCTAATGTGTTAAATATATACTGTAGTCTAGGGGCCAAGGAAAAATTTGAAACTCATTTTTATCTTAATTAAATTACTATAGACCATGATAAATGGAATTCTGTTCATTCTTCCAGGAGCTGGCCCTTGGTGCCCTGAGCGAGTATGGAACTCTTAAAGATCTAAAACAAGGCTTAATTAGCCAATCAACAAACAACCAAACAGGTCCAACAAACAATCAAGAAGAAACTATACTGAAGTTAATTGATTGGACCATTAACAATAAGAATGTCACAGTTCATACTTTAGAGAAGAGTAAGGTAATTACATTGATATTGAAGCATACATGTCGATTTATCTACTAAACATATTCAGCTGATCAGTTTATTCATGAGGAAAACATCAAGGTTTGACATACTTTTATAAACATGTAGCTAAACAGTCCAGTTTTAGAAGGAAATTCATATTTCACCCTATTATTGTAATTTGAGAATCTCCTACTGGAGAATTTGGAAGACACATTGTGCATTTAATAACATCCTTATTGTACCCTGAAACCAAGAGGTCATCAGTAAAAGTCAACACTCTGAGAATGTCAAATGATTTTACAGTTACTGATTGTTTAACTTTTATTACATTTGATTGTCAGATTTATGGATATCATCATGTAGGTGATGGTGTAGCGATTCAAATCCGGGTAGCCAATCTTTTATATTTTTTATTTATTACAGTGTTTTGCGACATTAATGTTACATTATATTTTAGTTCTCGGAGATCAAGGACCTGACAAAACAAAGTTATCATGAAACTCCTGCACCAAACTACATATTTGAGGTATTTAGAATCATACACATATTTCAAAGTAAAATATAGAATTTTTGTCATCCTGGTTTTTGGTAAAAATCCAAATTGCCATGGTAATATTTTCATGTAATATACAATGACTATTACATATTTATGTATCAGTAAAATGTGTCTAGTTCAAAATGACTTGCATCTCATTAAATTGAAAAATGCATATGTTCTATTTAAAGGCCCCACATAAAGTTTAAACCACAATATTTTCAAACTTTGGCTGTGGCTCTTAACAATTTTAGAGCTGGTTTCCACATATGAAGTTCATTTAAAGAAAGGTATTCACTTTTTATTTTTTAATTATTCTAGGTAACCTATAACGATGTGCTCAATGCAAAGTTTGACGAGCTTTGCAACGGAAAGGAAATGTTTTATGGTTACCATGGAAGCAGGGTAGAAAACTTCCACTCTATTCTTCATTATGGACTTCACTCACACATGAATAAAGTAAGTTCGGCATATGCAGGGCATTCCCTAAATTGAAATCCCTGAGATACAGCACCTCCATCCTCCATAAACATCCTTAAATTATTGCTCGAAAAATTACACTGATATGAATATAGAAAATTTGGAATATGCTAAAGTGAGTTTGGCATATGAATAAAGTAAGTTTGCCATATGAATAAAGTAAGTTTGGCATATGAATAAAGTAAGTTTGGCAAAAGAATAAAGTAAATTTAGCATATTAATCGTAATGTAATAATGGAAGTCTCGTGGACTGTCATGTTTTCAGAAGCATAGATTTAATACACATATAGGTTTTTTCATATGGATAAGGAGTGTTTCATTGTTTTATTTCCTACGGATTAAATGATCTTGTTCACTATATTCTACTTTTACTTTGTAATAGGTTGCGTTATATGGAGAAGGGACATATCTCAGTAGCGAACTATCCGTGTCAATGTCCTACAGTCCTGGGGGTAAGGCTTGGGAGTCAAGTTTGTTAGGGGATACCCTAAGTTGTGTAGCTGTCTGCCAGATCATTGATCACCCTTCTGTTAAGTGCCAAGTAAAATGTGAGTTTTTTATTTTAATTTTTTGTTGTGATAAAATGTGCTCAGTGAATTAAACAGTGATAAACAAATGTGAATCTCTTAAAAATTAAATATATTTATCGCACTTTGAAAAAGTGCTATATTGTCGTCGTCTTGTGCTGTTGGGCGGGCGGGCGGCACATTTCCAGGATAACTGCTTACCTGTTCAACTTGAAATTTTTACAGATGCAAGAGCAGACTAGTACCAAGATCTGATTAGGTTAAGGGCATGCTGGGTAAACTACGTGGCGGCCATTTTGAATTTTTCAACAAATCTTGTCATCAAAATTCCAGGAAAACCACTTATCCGTTCAACTTGAAATTTTTACAGATGCAAGAGCAGACTATTGCCAATATCTGATTAGGTTTTGGGTATGCTGGCTGAATTACATGGTGGCCATTTTGAATTTTTCAACTTGCTCCAAATTGACCAAATTTTTTTTAAAAACATCTACAAGTTCTCAGAAGTTCAAATCTGACCTTAGATTTCAGATTTGACCTTTCATTCACCTTCAGTGACCTTGAAAAGGTCAAAAAAGTTGATTTTCTAAATTGATATTTTGGATTTAAATTTAGGTCAGCTTAATTACAAAAGACCTACTGAGGTCTGAAAAAGTGAAATTTTCAAGGTCGAAGGTCATCAAATTAGGTCACAAACAATGTTATCTAAATTTTCCCAAAGTTCAAGACTACAAATAAATTCTTGTCATCAAAATTGCAGGAAAACCGCTAACCTTGTCAACTTGAAATGTTTACAGATGCAAGAGCAGACTAGTGCCAAGGTCTGACTAGGTTTTGGCCATGCTGGGTAAATTGCATGGTAGCCAGTTTGCTCTTCAAAGTGCGATATTTATCACTGTGTGTCTTGTTGATTAAAGTGACAACAAAAATGAAGGATGCCTATCTACAAAATATAGGAGCAGTTGTTGAAATAAACATGCCATCGTTTCCCTTATGATAGATTAATTTGGCTGCAAAAGGATTGAAAGATCACATGATCATTATATTATGGGAACAATATTAATGGTAAAATGTTCATAAAACATTGCCAAGTTTTTGCTTATTGTGTTTTTTATTTTGTTTCTTCATAGCATCAAGTGAAGCAGGGAGAAGCAGGTCACGCTCCAGGGCATCAGAGAGTATTGGGGGAGATGTACCAGATAAATACTATGTTGTGCAGAACAATGATGCACTGAGGTTAAAATATGTACTCGTCTATGCTCAAAAATCAGCACCTAAAAGGTATATTTCTAAAAAAATATCTAATTTTTGTTTTATGTAATTTGGAGTATTAAGGATCAGATACACTTATGATAAAAATTCAGGTTACAAATTTTGTGGAATATAAATCAAAGGATGCTGGCTTGTACCCAAGGGGTGGGGAGCCAAACTTCATTCAAAATGATGCAGTTTTTCACCATTTTGAGCACTTTTCAAGTGATTTAGGGCCAAAATTCAAATTCGAAGCCCCTGGAATTTGACCCCCTTGGCGAAAGTTGGCTTGCAGCCTGGGATATTTTTACAATGAAACCTGTACAGTATATCCAAAATTGGTCATCTTCCATAGACTCACATATGAATGAAACCTTGAAAAACCTTGAACACCTGCTTATTTGAACAGTTTTGATTGGTCCCAGTGGCGTTCCAATTAGACAGGTTTTACTGTTCATTGCTTTGTATTTGCAGATTCAAGGAAGTTTCATGGATGTACGAACATAGGTTTATACTTATAATGGGTTTCTACATGTTGATCCTCCTAGCAGTTGGACTAGCTAACTCAAAGACATTTCAGAGTTTTTGGAGAAAATGGAGGTAGCGCTAGTGTTAGGCTACGCCTCTGAAGTAATGATGCAGGGTTCTCCCCAGAACAGTTTAAGTTTCTAAAAATATGGCCTTTCCACTTCCAATATTGTAACTCCACAGATTTTCTCCAAATATTGATGGTTTTCAACTATGATGTCATAATGGGATTTCTCAAGGAATGACATTGTATTTTTTGTTTGGATGAAACGTGTGTTAATATAAATTTGTTTTATTGTTGGTTATCCTACATTTTAAAGACAACTGTGTATTGTGAGCATTTGCCTGTAGTGTCAGTGTAGTAGACTTCCGTCCACTGGTGTCTATACAATGCGGTGATAACTGAGTGACAACAATTGACCTTTTGCGATCAGAATTCAGGAATTTTGTTTATGGATACTGTTGTCGTGTATTTCGTCTTATTGGTGTGACGTCATATAGAAATGATATTAGACATGATGGAATCACGAAATGGCGGACACTTGGCAGTTTTGAGCAAAAAATATTGTCGTTTCTTTTATGAAAACCATGGGTCGGATATTTACCAGATATGCCGATTTGACTAGATCATGATTATTTCTATATATGTGCGAAGTTTTGGTGAAATTCATACTAAACATCGATGCCTATAAGCGCCCCCCGTATTTGTCAAAATCGGGGGGCGCTTAACCGCTATCTAAATCATGTCAGTAAGATCTTAGACTTGGTATGTGCTTAGCATGGATGTTGATCTAGTCAAATAGAACGGTTTCATGAAAAATAAATCAATAAAGCACGAAATATAGAAGATAATCTTTCAAAATCAAACATCTAGAGCTGGGTGGCCTAATTGTGACGTCACTACAAGATAGAATCCATTCGGTGATCGCAAATCATCAATTCTACAAATCACAAAGTGTTCTTTTTTATTACTTATAGATTCATTGTACAGACCTATTGAGTACTAGAGTTTGTCGTTATGACACCCTGGATGTTTGACTAATTCGGTTTGTGATTTTTCTCAAAAGTACTTTTGAAGTCACACACATTGTATAGTTATTCGAAAAATGACAATGGTGGCAGTGTGTTAGCAATGTATACAGATAAAATGAATTACTCAACATTTATAAACACATTTTAGGAGGGGCGTCATTACTAGAAAATCTCGAAATAGATTTCATAATTTACATTGTATTATGCTCAGAAAAAGATAGTGTCTTCCAATATTAATTTGTGAATACTTACTACACGGACAGTGGAAAATGGCAAAACAGTCATACAAACATGTTTGACCTCAAGTTATTGACTCTTATATCAGTCATACTGTTTTACCTTTTAATACCTCCTTACATTATACATTGACAAACAGTGGCAGCCGTCATGATACATAGATTTTTTAGATTTATGAACTTTATTACACATGCATACCCATAAAGGGTTAAGTGTACACAAAGTAAATACTAATTTTACAATATATCAATACAACAGAAAACAGTATATATAACAACACACACAATTAATACTTCATAATAAATAAATAAGTAAATAAATGAACAAATAAATATGTATCGAGGATGAGCACATGAATGGTGATTGTGATACGCGTCCATTGTTTACGTCATATATCACACCCTTCTATGTTATATAACATTTTACATATGAACTATATTTATTTACTCTTCTAGTTGACAGTTGTAAATTTTGTTTTTGAACAATCTTGGATTTGGGAAACCTTGTTTTCTTGCAGTATTAAAACTTTGAATACCCTAAACAAATGAAATTAATAAATAACACAATTTTTCATCGTAATTGTTGATTGACATGTTTTATGTTTAAATATAATGAAGTTAAGAATTTTCATTGGCATTTAATCAAGAAGATTCTTGATGCAGTTGTTACATGTTCAAGTATACATATATGATTAAACTCACTGGATTTTTATCGCACCCTTAGGTGCTATATTGTAATCAGTATGCAGGGAAGGTGGGTAGTTGGGCGTCCCGATTAATCTTGACTACAGGTTTTCAGCCAAATCATTTCAGGGATTTGTCTGAAATTGTCAGGGATGTTTCTACGTATGAAAGTTTAGAAAGTTAGCTTTTGGGCATTCTGGGTAAAATTTCAGGCGGACATTCTGGGTAACTGTTAAGGTGGCCATTTTGGATTTTCCGTCCTAAAATCTTGTCTGGCGAGGCTTGTCTACAAGTTTCTAGCAAACCATTTCAAGGATTTTTCTGAAATTTTTAGAAATGTTTCTACGTATGAAAGTTTAGAACTGATTAGTTTACGGGAAGTCTCTGTAAATGTTTGGGCCGCCATTTTGGATTTTCCGTCCCGAAAACTTTCTATTCTATTCAAGGGTGCGATTCTGTTCACTCTGTGTCTTGTTTGACATTTATTGACATACCCAGAGAGCCAATCCAGTCTTTACTGCTTGAAGTATCTTGTATTTCACAACTAACGACAATTTGTACTCTCAAATAATAAATATTTAAAATAATATGTTCATGTCTTTTTCTTTATTCAAATTAAGCTACGTACAGTACTTGTTCCAAAGCAAAGCTCAGAAACAAGACATAAAATGTTTAAAATTTCGCCTCATTTACAGTACTGAGCTGTTTTAAATTTATGTATTGTACGTATAGAAATTCTGTAAATAGATTTGCACGTACTCTAGATGAAAAGAATAGATATAACACAAATATGTGATTTTAAAGTATTTTACTCATCAATGCACTCAAGAGCCCGAGTTCACATTATACAAATTATGTAGAATTAATTGAGTAACAGTGTTGGCCTGTTGAGCAACAGTGTTATGCTGGCTGGAAACTATCATAGATTTGACCCAGAGCAGTTAAACCAGTTCCTCCACTCTCAAGTAATGCATTCATCGGCGGTATATAGGCATTGGAGTTGCTTATACGTGTAGTGTACCAAGAATATCTGTAACAAGGCATTAACATGACAAAATGTCACCACCTAAAACAATTTGGTCAATTTAAAGCAAGTTGAAAAAATACCTCTTTGACTTTTTTAGACATTGAGAAGGTCATTGAAGGTCAAATATCAAATGTAAAGTCAGATTTGAACTTCTGAGAACATGAAGATGATTTTGAAAAAAAAATTAAGTAAATTTGAAGCAAGTTGAAAAAAGACCTTTTTGACCTTGAAAAGGTCATTGAAGGTCAAAAGTCAAATCTAAAGTCAGATTTGAACTTCTGAGAACTTGTAAAGTCAAATTTGAACTTCTGAAAAGATGTAGATGATTTTGAAAAAAAAATTTGGTCAATTTGAAGCAAGTTGAAAAAAGACCTTTTTGACCTTTTTTTGACCTTGAGAAGGTCATTAAAGGTCAAATGTCAAATCTAAAGTCAGATTTGAATTTCTGAGAACATGTAGATGATTTTGAAAAAAAAATTTAGTCAATTTGAAGCAAGTTGAAAAAAGACCTTTTTGACCTTGAGAAGGTCATTGAAGGTCAAATGTCAAATCTAAAGTCATATTTGAATTTCTGAGAACATGTAGATGATTTTGAAAAAAAAATTTAGTCAATTTGAAGCAAGATGAAAAAAATACCTTTTTGACCTTTTTTGACATTGAGAAGGTCATTGAAGGTCAAATGTCAAATCTAAAGTCAGATTTGAATTTCTGAGAACATGTAGATGATCTTGAAAAAAAAATTTAGTCAATTTGAAGCAAGTTGAAAAAAGACCTTTTTGACCTTTTTTGACTTTGAGAAGGTCATTGAAGGTCAAATGTCAAATCTAAAGTCAGATTTGAATTTCTGAGAACACGTAGATGATTTTGAAACAAAATTTAGTCAATTTGAAGCAAGTTGAAAACAGACCTTTTTGACCTTTTTTGACCTTGAGAAGGTCATTGAAGGTCTAATGTCAAATCTTAAGTCAGATTTGAATTTCTGAGAACACGTAGATGATTTTGAAAAAAAAATTTAGTCAATTTGAAGCAAGTTGAAAACAGACCTTTTTGACCTTTTTTGACCTTGAGAAGGTCATTGAAGGTCAAATGTCAAATCTAAAGTCAGATTTGAAGGTCAAATGTCAAATCTAAAGTCAGATTTGAATTTCTGAGAACATGTAGATGATTTTGAAAAAAAATTTAGTTAATGTGAAGCAAGTTGAAAAAAGACCTTTTTGACCTTGAGAAGGTCAAATGTCAAATCTAAAGTCAGATTTGAACTTCTGAGAACATGTAGATGATTTAGAAAAAAATTGAAGTCAATCTAAACAGTATTTGTTAAGTTATAGGAAGTTGTAAGAAATTGTTACAGACGCCGGACGCCAACCGCCGGACGCCAACCTCCAACCGCCGGACGCCGTCGCAAAAAAACGGAGACCATAACAATATGTCACCACTTTTGGTGGTGACATAATAATGACCATAAAAATATACAGTTAAACATGATTATTTGATAATTTACAGAACTTTTTTGAAACGCAAACTGATTTTAATGATAATACAGGGTTACCGGAAAAAGGGAAACCAATGAAATAGGCGATATCTTGTAAAATATAGACAAGTGACATCGATGGAATATTGACGCTTTTCGGACATCCTTCTCTCGGTTTTAGTCAAGTTTAAGATGTGATGATAGTATCAAATCAACGCATCCCCTGTTTTTCGGCCGTACAAAAGTTGCAGATGATGTAAGTTCTATGTGTGGAAGGAATGAAATGGTTAATCTAAATCATCATTTTGCAAGTATGAATGTCGATATAATTTAAGAACTTTTTCTTGAAAGCGGTTTATTTATTTTTTTTAAAATGCATTCCTACAATTCATTGTCACGCCTGAAACATACAAGTCCTATGAGTATTTTTGTAATTTGTTCGGAACTTATATTGTTATCAAACTTACTCCAAAGCAAACAAAATAATAATTGCAAGTGAACTCCGGAATCAACCCGGAATTTTGAAATTTTTAGGTTGAGAAGTATGTTTTCTTCTGAACAATAAACAATAAAAACAAAGGGTAGCAAAAATTGTTGCACGCAAAATTACCTGTACACACAGTGTATGTGCTTTTCATTAATTTTTACTGAGTTTTGGGCTAATACCACGGTTTTAACTAGAAAAACAGCAACTCCAACGGCAGTTGAGTTACCAAAGATTACGAAAATGAAAATGAAAAATGGCAGCCATTCTGAATTAGATCAGCCATCTTAAAATTTTTTCTCGAACAGAGCTACTGTGTTTCTAGGCATCATCATATAAACTTTGAACCAAATCCGTTCACTGGTATTTGAGTTACCAGAGATTACGTTTTTACGAAAAATGGCCGCCATCTTGAAATTCAGCGGCCATCTTGAAAATTGTAACTCAAACAGATCTACTGTGTCCCTTGGCATCATCATATACAATTTGAACCAAATCCGTTCACTGGTATTTGAGTTATCAAAGATTAAGTTTTTTTACGAAAAATGGCCGCCATTTTAAAATCTAGCCGCCATCTTGAAAAATTTTACTCGAACATATCTACTGTGTCCCTAGGCATCAGCATATAAAATTTGAACCAAATCCGCAAACTACAGTATTTGAGTTATTAAAGATTACATTTTTTACGAAAAATGGCGGCCATTTTAAATTCAGTGGCTATATTGAAAATTCCTTCTCGAGCAGAGGTCCTACACACATAAGGCATACGCCTATAAAATTTGAATCAAATCCGTGAAACAGTATTTGAGTTATCGCCCGGACAAACAGACGGACGGACGGACGGACGAACGGACGGACGGACGGACGGACGGCTTTCCTATATCCCTCTCGAACTTTATTCGGTGGGATAACAAGCAAATCGGAAATGGATTTCTAATAGACGATCCAGTTGGTGCTTCCGTAAATGATTTACGAGTACATTCTTGATTAATAGTGCGATAACCGACATTGATGCTATTGATAGTGTAACATAAATATTTCAGGTGCAATATAACTTTGGTTAACCCCACGTTATAGAAGAACTTGATTAAAGGTTGTCACTCATCCTCCTAAGTAGGTGTCCAGAACCCGTACCTCCTTCCCCCCCTGCTATAAAGAATTTGGAAGCGCCCGATTAAACTGAATCACGTGATCTAATTATGCGCCGATGACGTAAACTCGATTGCTGTCGAATCAAATTGCGAGTTCTTAATCGGTGGAAATGCTAACTGCTTTACGCAGGGAGTAAAAAGAAAGAAGATATTCTGGATTTTGAAGCCCTGTGATCGGAGGATGGTTGTCACTTTACTCTGTAACAATCGAATGTTTCCCCTTGAAGTATTGCCAGGTAATGAAACACTACAAATGCGACTTAAAAACTACACGGACCTATGGAAGAAGAGTATTTTCCGCTATACGTGACGGAAAAACTACGTTTCGAACCCCTGATAGATATCTCATGTTTTAACCTAATTGACGTAAGGAAATCACGAATGGTATTTTAGTGAATGAGATCATTTTAGAGCCTTTAAGTTCGGATGTCTTTGACCTTTGAATAGTTTCTTTTTGCAACCCATTGTGCTTATATTATCAGTGTATTTTCCGCTGTCTTTCAACCTCTATCGGCAAATATGCCTACATATTTAAATCTAACACTTTGCCTAAATTCGGACTCATCCCAGGCCCAACATGATGACGTACCTAAACACATACGGAGCCTCTTCTAATAGCGGCAGTACAGCCGACATGTAATTGGACACAGTAGTGAAATCATTGCTTGGACAGGCAAACTCCGTTAACCAAATCTGTTTACCATATGCGAGAAAGAGTCGAAGGCATGCTAGGCGAACCCTGGAAACACGGATTCGTTAGACCAGGGTTCACTGTTTCTTTCTGTTAAACCCTGTGTGAAAGTACATCCATGATTCATACTACAGTGAGCAGGAGGTTTAACAGTGAACCCGGGTGCTCTTTGGCCTTATTTAGATCTTTGTTTCTTAGACCAGGGTTCAGCAGGTCATTCAGCAGGTCAAGGGCATTCCAAACGAAATAAGTGTTTAATGAGGCTAAGAAATAGAAAAATGTGCTTAATTAGAATGATATACCTGGTATTTTGTACTTAGTAAATGTTAAACACATGAAAATCAGTTATTTTTATCAGTGGCCTAAAGTACCAAAATTCAAAAGACCCCTTCTACTCTAACTTGTCACTTCACAGTTCAGCCATCTTTGTTTTCAACTAGTTTGAAATGAAGAAAATGCGTACTTTGAGTTGGATTTACTCCGTGATAACTGTTTTTCATAGCAAAACCATGGTATGTTTTGAAGAATATCTACCCAGAGACGAGAATTGGTAAGTTTCCACTCTAAAATCGAAGTATTTCTCTACGAAATGGTCGATCGAATTTTGAAATATTTCAAAAAACGGATTTTTTTAGATCTACTGGTAGGCCTAGTCTACTTTGAAAACTCATCGGCGATTTCTGACGAACTGAGAGGGTATAGACAGCTTCATTGTAGCAGGAAACATTCTTTCATTTTTTCAAAAAATATATATGCGGGTTTCGAGTCGTAGTTTTGATGTTTACTTTTCTCAGACTTTTGAAATGAAGAACTAAGAGCCTTATTCTTGACATTTAGCAGTTTAGTGTTAGAGTCTAGCAAAGAATTTGCCCTCAAATGATAACAAATAAGAAAAATAACCTGGGGGTATGTTTCAGAATATGTCTAGCTTCTTCGTGAGACTATCGAGTGGAGCAAGAAAGCTGCAAAAGCTGCCCAAGTCAATAAGGCGAGGAAGCCTGTTGGGAGGGCCATGGCCCTAGCTGAGGTGCTGGCACAAGCAAAGAAAACTGGACCTGGTTATTATTATTATTATGTTTATTTTCCCTCCAGGATAGGAGATAAATATATAATAATTAGGATACATAAATTGCATTGAATGTATATAATAGTGAATGATATATGAACAACAAGTATACGCAACTATACTGTATGTACTAATGTTATATAGCCAATATCGCAAATCACTACTCCTATTTTTGAGTAAAAAATTCTAATAGATGAAATAGATCGTATTGATTTTGAATGATTTATGTGCGTGCCATTATCACCTCGATAGAAAATTCTAGTGTAAAAGTTTCATTCTCTTTGAAGATACATGTCTCGTATGTCACATGCAATTGCTTTTAGTTCATTTGGACTTAAACGGTCATCTCCTCCGAAGATCAACATCATTTTCTCCTGTGTGGTCATAGAAGGATTCATACTGGAATAAGTGTTTACTATGGCCTCGATGCGTTTCCTGTTAACAGCATTATTTGAACAAAATAAAGTAAAATGTTCTACTGTTTCGACTTCATCTCCACAGAGCGGGCATAGCCTCTCTTGAAAAGGGATCCCTTCCCATTCACCAGTATTTACTCTCAAATTTCCCTGTCCCGTTAAAAGACGAACCATCAGCGCACATCTTCTCAAGTATCTTGGATCTTGTCTAGCAACCAACCACCATATAATAGGTTTTACATCCTGCACTATTCCTCTGTACAGTTTTAATTTTTGATACGTGGTCACTTCTCTCTTCCATCTGTTAAGGTCATAATCTCGGATTTTTGTGCTTACTATGCGTTTCCATAATGTCTTAGAAGGCATTTCTATAGAGTCCAACATGTCATATATGCAGTTTGTAATCCCGTACCGTTCGGCAAGGTTCATAATGTCATTTATCGGAGAAAGACTATTCAGCGGTCTAGATCCGACTCTGAATGCAACCATACGTTTAATAGCGATGCTTCTGTAAACAGATCCAAGGGTCATGGATAACATCTGTAGAAGAAACATCATCTTCATGATAATAATAGTTGTTGTAATGCTATGCCAGCCAAGTTGTGGTAGAATTGCGACATTCGGTGTGCTCACTGGGAGACCCTGTAATTTTTTCGCAATATTGCGGTGTCCCTGTTCCAAGACCTCATATTCAGCGTCATTAAGGTGGACCAGTTCCATGCCAAAAGTCATCGAGGGGACGCTTACAGCCCAATATAATTTGGACGCAGTGAGTGGGTTTGTGGGGTCTGTGCAGCTTGTTGTCGTCCCAACGTATGCGTTAATGGACCTTCGAGCTCTAGAAATCCTGTCATCTACCAGCTCCCTGTTACTGTTACGGGCAGACAGGGGTAAGCCAACGTGTTGCGTAGACGTCACGACCGGTATCACGCTTTCTCCAATTTTTAGCTCAATGGGTGCGGTTGGGGTCTTCTTGTTTGTAAAGACAACCACTTGGCATTTTTTCGGATGGAATTTAATCCTCCAAAGTTTACTATATTCATGCATTGTGTCAAGAACAAATTGTACAGAGTTTTTATGGTATCCTATAATGACCATGTCGTCAGCATAGGTCGGACATGTACACACAATGTCACCTATCGTGCAGCCTTTTCCACAGTTGACAATATCTAGTATTAATCTATTCATGTATAACGAATGCAATTCCATAGAGTAAATACCCCCTTGGTGTACGCCTTGTGATATGTTGAATTTTTCGGAAAGTACACCATCTGAGCTACATCTAACTGCACATTTATAATCCATATAACATAAACGCAAAAGTCTCCATAGTTTTCCATTGACACCCAAGTTAAACATTTTGTACAACAGGCCTGAGTGCCACACACTGTCGAAACTTTTACGGATGTCAGCTGACACAACAATAACGTCCTCACCATTTTCCAGTCCATGACTAATAGCTTCTCTTGCTAAGAAGGATGTATGAAGGCAGGATGTATGTTTCTTATTTGCGGCTTGTAAATCTGAGATCTTTTCGGAATACTTTACATTTTCACTTCTTGTAACCATTAGCTTTTCTAAGATTTTCATGTATGCAACTATCAAGGTGATGCCTCTGTGGTTGTCCTTATCAAGGTTATCTTTGTTTCCTCCTTTAAATATAGGAACTAATAGTCCAAGCTTAAAACTCTCAGGAATATATTCTACCTTAATAATTTGGTTAAATAGCTCTGTAAGCAACTGGATCAGAACCCTACCTCCATGTTGAATGTGTTCTGCGCTTATCCCATCCCACCCTGTAGCTTTGTTTTTTGTCAGGGTGCTAATTAGCTTCTCCATTTCCTCAACACTTATAGGTTCAGCAAAAGAATTATCATCATTAAACACGCTCTCAAGTACCATTTCGTCTACTCTCTTGGAGACATACTGCTCATGATCCGAGTCATAGCTGTCATCATTTGTAGGGGATAAAAGTCGACTGAAATAGTCCATCCACTCACTCCTTATCGCTTGATCCTCAGTTAAAATTTCACCTGTGTCACTTCTAATTGCTGATGATGTACCACTTTTCCTTCTACGTTGCTTAACTAGGTACCAAAATCGTTTCATACTGATATCTGAAGCACCATCAATTTCATTCTGGCATTCAATTTCATACGCTACTTGAGCTCTTCTTAATTCTCTACGAAAGTCACGCTTTGCTATCTTATAACATATCCAAGCATCATTTCCTGGATCTCTAGGTCTTCCTTGTTGTTTCCATATACGGAACGCTGATTTCTTATCATTCGACAAATCTTTCAGAACTTGTGACCAATAAGGTTTAAGATGCTTTCTGTAGCGTGACTTAGGAATAGCACGATCTGCTATAGTCTTAAGCAATTCAGTTATTCTATCAAAAATATTGTCTATGTCATTGGGTGCCATTAACCCTTTCATATTATTCACTTGCTCCATCAAAGGTGTCAAACGGTCATCCACTACACTGGTATAGTTTTCGATCAGGTCCCTCATATCAATCTTGTTCCACGCTGGTTTGGTGATATTGGCACTTACGTTACAGGGAGTAGTGATTGGCGTTGTAAGACATGATTCAATAGCAACCTGCAAGGGTAAATGATCTGAATTATTCAAAAAATCTTCTTCTAGAATTTTAGCATGCACAACATTACATTTTTCAGAAATTAAACAATGATCAATGTAAGACTTTCCAACATTTTCTCTATAGTAGGTATACTCTGGGCCTGAGCATTTTTCAGTTAAATCAGAAATTACTAAATTACATCTCAACGCCATGTTACTTAACATAACACCATTCTTACTTATCACACCAGATCCTCTGACGCCATAATGACGCCCTAAATTAACATTAAAGTCACCGATGATTACAATATCGCCGTCATCTTTCAATGCTGATACAACACCTTCAAGCTCATCTAAGACCTCTGAAAAAACATAGTTTTTACAATTGCGCTGTGGCATATATACAGATATTATGTAAATAGACCGTGCATTTGGTTGTACAAACTTAACAACAAGAAATCTATCACTTGAACTTAGTTTCTTTTGCGGGAAAATCTGTTTAGAGAGAGATCGCCTCCACATGATGGCGACTCCTCCATTGCCTATCTGATGTCCTTGGTCAAGTGAGTCTAGTGTTTTACTGCTCACTGAATAACTGTCAAAAAGTGGATCAAAGTTATTTAGTTTGTCTAGAGCACTTTCGTACAACCAATGTTCACTCAAACACATGATATCAGAAATGGACAATAACGTTTTGAGATACGGGGATGAGGCACTTAGACCATTGGCATTCCAAGCTGTAATAGTTAAGGACTTAAGACTCATACTTGTCATTGAATACAAAGTTATTGCCATCCATTTCCCATACAGATTTCCTAAAGTACTCATTTGTAGATTCATATATGTCTTCATAGTCAATACTGTCATTGTTATTAGATATTCGGTCATCACTGTCTTGTCCGTCTACGTCTCTTTTGAAAGACCGGTACGATCTCGTATTTTTCTTAC